AACCGCCTGCAGAAATCTGCAGGTATCCGCAAGCCACATGTTATGCCACCCTGGTTCCTTGCTCTTTCCCCACCTGTCTTGAGCGGACATGCTATGACCATCTGCCCATTGTGTTTTCATTCTATTCTTCTACTCTTTTCCTTTTGGTGCAGAGGCAGAAGGGGCACCAGCTAAGGGCCGGATAAGGTAAGGCCGGGTAGCAACACAATATCCTTGAAATTCAGCAGGCTCATCATCAAGACTTTGTTGGGTGCTACTTTCTCGATAACATGAATGCTGTTACATGGGTGCACGCCACTGCTCTTCTATATAAAAGTGGGCTTTGCTTTGTGGTTGTATCTCAGGCTCATCATGTCTGTATTTTAGTGTAGACAATACAGCCATTTGGGTTGCTGTCTATGGGCTTGTGCGTGCGGTGTATATCGCTTTTTTTGTTGTGAACCTGAGAAACTTAGTCGGTAGTAGGCTTTCAATATGAAGAAAAACTGTTTTTTACCTTGTGGGACTTTTCTATTCAACATCCACCGTATCCTTCAATTTTGAGCCCTTAGGCAACAACTCCAGTTTCAGTTAGAGAAACCTGCGTACATGATTTGCTCTTCACTTACAGTTTTGAAGTACCAGGCGAACAAATATTTTCTTTAGCGAAGTCGTCGTCTTGACCGATCACTGTTCCGATAGAGCCACTCGCGTAGGATGCTACTGTCAGGAACGCGTCTGTGGCTATACTTGTGTTTCAGACTCCCACTAATAAATAGCGCCGAAAAAGCAATAAGTTCTCTTTTCTAAAGTAGTTGCAAAGAGTCGCTTTTATTAGTAAAAAGGGAAAAAATGTACAGGGAATAATTATCTAAGCACCGGGGGTGAAGTTGGTGGCATAGGCCCACGCGTTGTTGACGGTGGGGTCAGCCAGGTGGTCGGACAGGTTCTCCAGGGGGCCCTTGCCGGTGACGATGGCCTGGACGAAGAATCCGAACATCGACACGACACCATGGCGAGGCGGCCGTTCTTCAGCTCCTTCACCTTCAGCTCCGCAAGGGCACCGGGATCGTCAGCCAGACCCAGGGGGTCGAACATCGCGAAAATGCTAAGTCAGGAAAGTGACAGAACATTCACCAAAACGGGACTTTATGGTGACATTTTTTGGTCACGGAAAAGTCATGGTCAGAAGTACCAGGGTGAGCCGTCACCTTGCCAGTGACGTAAACCTCACGCATCCGTCCCGCAAAAGAATCGGGAACAACACATTTCTGTCACTACCAGGGTTACCACATTGTCACCAACACTTCACTCGTCCGTTACGACGCACACAACCACAATTGCGTCACCGGAAAAACACCGAAATGCACAACTGCCACGTAAGCACCCTCTTGGCAGCACAGTTACAACACCCCCGTATCAACTATCGTAACGTACGTGCGTGTCACTACCCAACTCCCAATCAGCAACAACCACGTGACAACCAACCCGCCACAAATAGACCGTCACGATCACACCCCAACGCGCCATGATCAACGGCTTCTACGCACCGGCCAACCAAAGGCGACGCCGCATCTGGACGGTCCATCAACCCACACATCCACGCACATAGAAGCGCCACTACATCTCAACCATGCGGTCAATGTGTGCACACGTCACCCGAATGCACCATCTTTCAACCGTCCACCCGCTAATGCTTCGACGATCCCGATTAGCCTGCATTTTCGACAACTCGCACACGTGGCCCCCAATCCTCCCAAGATCAATTCCTCATCCACGGTAACTGTGCACACTTTATGGTGATGATCAACGGCGGACATTCACGCATCGCGACAACAACATCACCCTACATGCATTACCTCACCCATTGAATCATGACGAGAACCACGACCCACCGCGTAACAGATTCGCTCACATCGACGTCCTCGATGCATCGCCCGAAAACTACCTGCTCTCCTCACAGCCCATCGCGCACGTCGAATCTGTCGCACGTCCACGCACCACCACTGATATGGAAGGCCATCGACGCTGTACGACGTATTGCGACACCCACACTCATGATGTTACCACACCTCGAAACCGTCACTGACACGTGCAACGCAGCCCATCTCGCCGCAGCGCGTTTCACCCAATCACAAATCGCACCGTCCATATCCACTATTCTCACAACCGGGCCGCGTGAAATCCAACATCTGTCATGCCCTGATTTTGTGTCTGGACCCTATGTCCCCCGCTCGCGTGAAATGTATGATCTTGATAGCTTCTAGTGCACGCCATCTCACGCAATACATGCTCTTTTCACAACACAGCCAACATTACATAACCTACGATTCAACCACGCCACACTAACAACTTCAACCACACTACCTCCACAACTCAGCAGCTACAACCGTTCCTTCGACAATTGTTGTTCTCACACCCCCGCACTGTCCCCATTACTCGGTAACGGATCGACACCCCGTGCACTTTGCACTTCAGCCTGCATTTTTTGCCCATCCTCAGGTAAGGGACATGTTGTCCCGTGCGCCTTCGCTCACGCTGGGTGCCTGCCCGGCGTGCTCCTGCCTCTCAATCCCGCACGCAGACAGGCGCAGCCCATGGCGGCCCCACGCCCACGATGACGTCGTGGGGTCGTACTGCGGCTGGAACTGCTCGATGGCAGCCATGACGTCCACGAGCGCGCACTCGCGGAGGCCGTCCACGATCTGCGCGTTGACACCCGCAGAGTTCGACAGCCTGCCCTTGCGGGTGTCCCAGTAGCGGATCGCGTCGGTCACCTGCGCATTTGAACGGACAGATGCGCATTTTCAGCCACGGTATGCACCCCTGCAATGGTTTTCACGGAAACTACGTCGGACCAGGAGACATGTTTCGACTGTCAACGCTCACCACGTGTTCGAGCCACGCCATGTGATACAGCTTCAGAGTCAGCGTCCCGTTCACCATCCTGGGCCTGAAAGCAGCTCGGGCGCATGCAACAAAGGCCCCGGACGCAAAGGGCATGCCGCGCCTGTCCTCGCTCCACTTGGAGATAGCGAAATGGTCTGCACAACAACCAGGCGGCCATTTCGTCGTCATTATCAGCACAAACGCGCTCACACACGTACCAAGCATCGCGAGACTGTCTTACCCTCCCCATCGAGTGTCAGCAGCAGGCGCTCCTTCACCCTCGCCGCCGAGCGAGCCTTGGGGGCAGCCCACGGGCTGCGCGCGTCCTTCTCGTTGCGGAAAAGTCCCAGTTTCGGCATCGCAATGTCCCGGACACGCCCCGCGGCCGCCGTCTTCCAGTCGCTAAACGAACGGTTCAGGTCAGCGCGTCTCCCTTTGTCTGCAGCCAATGCGAGGCTTGCAAAAGCGGGAGTCAGACGGTCAATGATCACGCACAGCCCGGCACTCTTCGCCGCGCTACTGGGGTAGAACGACATCACCGCGTCCGGCGCGTCCACAAAAAGATGCACACGCAGCTGCTCGCAAATTTCCTGCGTGACGCAGCAGACACAAAGACAGTCCTGGCATGTTAGCTCTCACGTAAGATACTCCTCCACCGGACTTTGAACATGGATCAGACATGCTTATACACACAATGCACCCCCATTGTACAACTTTTTAACCCCATCCTCCCACCTTCCACCCTTTGTTCGCCGGTAAAAACTTCAGCACTCGCTGCAGGATCGGAGAGCTCGACGTCCTCACGTGGCGGCCGACCTCGTCCTCCAGCTCGTCCTCGTCGACAGAAGGTTCGGGACTCGCAACGCGCCTCGCCTTACGTGGGTTGACCCTGTCACACTCGCCCCTTGCGTTGTTACGCTTGCGTTTCTTGGCCGGGTGGTTGGCGAGCGAGGCCAGCAGTGCCGTCTCCAGCCTTGCCATGGTCGCTGCCGTTTCCATCTGCATCTTGCGCAGCGCAACCATCTCCGCCCGCGTCACTGGAGCGAAATCGGAGGCCTCCTCCTGCGTAGCCTCTTCGTCGCAGTCGACGCGCGGATTTACTCGTGGAAGAGCTTCGTTCGGATTGTCGTCCGACGACACAGGGTCCGGGCCCGTCGGTGATGGTTCATCAGTGCCTTCCTCGTCCGCCATTTCTGACACCCTGCGCCTCTTTCCAGTCCGAGCGGAACGCGCTTCCTCGTGCGTCCTTGAAGGTCCTGCCTTGCGGCGATTAGAGGTCGTCTCGCGAGACGATGAGCTCTCGCCATCCCGATGGTCATGCGCTTCGGGCGGGGGAGTTGACGTTGCGAACCAAAGACACGGTAAGTGTTAGTGTGGGCCGTGTACCCTACACGATCATTTAAACACGCACAATAAAACTCACGACACACATACCACGTTCCGAAGTCACGCTCGGTGCGGGCCTCGCAGCAGTTTTCGCCCGCTTAGCAACCGGCGCCTTCGGCACCGGTGGACGCTTGGAGCTTCCCGGCAGCACATAGTTCTTCAGGTGCGACGGAGTCTTGGACACACGCTGACGTTTTCCGTCCCTGGACGCTCGTCCGCTCTCTGTGCCACTGTCCATGTTGCCTGCGGCAACTAGACAGACGATGTGCACAATGGTGCACATCGCCTTGTTTTGTGCACAAACGTGCCCTCGTCCATGACTTGCGTTCGAAGTAGGCATTGTTTGACGTGGAAGCCACCCACACACCTCGAAATTTGCTGCCCTATCCTTGCTTGCCAGCAAGACATATTCAAGCACTACCCCTATCGGTCCAGGTTGGACGCAATTGTGACCATTCACGTACCAGCCTGCTCATGCCACCGTGTATGGTGACCTCGCACTACACCGGTACATTCGTGGTCACACAAAATGTGTTGCAACACTTACACCACCACAGTTATTTTTGACAGTGTGATTCTAAACGTATACACATGTTCTGACAACAACACACAAGCTACAACCATGTGCAGAATCGTTCACCACACCATCAAAATCAATGCATTCCATGCGCAAAAACAACCACAACAACTTATACGTTTGCTCAGTACTGGTCTCGGCGCTTTTTGCTTCCATTGCCCTCTCACTATCACTGGGCCTGCGTGCACTCAATACCCCCATCACTGTCTTGTTCCCTATTGTCCTCCTCGCTCACAAGATCCTCATCTGCTTCAGCATCCCGTGTCTCGCTATCAGCGGCCTCTGCTTTAGGTGGAGGTGACTCCGCACCTGGCTCCAGCTTGAAGGGCGTTCCTGGCAAAACACCAATGTCGTTCATGGCTATACGCCACTCCCTCCACCTGTACCACTGGCGATGCCTCACGTCATCCACTATTGCTCCCTCCAGTGCAGCCATCTCCGCGTCTGTCAACGCCATCACCTTGGGGAAGTGGTCCTTCCTCCTGATCACAATCGCTCCAGCCGCGTACGCGTAAGCCGCGTCCTTCTCATCCATGTACGCGCCAAGGCGGACCTGCTTCCCAGTCAAAGGCTCCGCAACTATTTTGACACACCACTTTCGCACGCGGAGATCAAACCACACCCCGGTGTACTCGCTCGTACCTCCCCGTTTCCCCACACCCCCCGCGCCGCTGGCCTTCACCAGGGTGGCACTGGTCTTCTGCATGCGACGCCCTGCACGACGACCCTTAACGGGCGTGGCGTCTGGAGTGTTCGGCTTGACCGTGTTGGAGACGTGTCCCTGTGTGTGCACGTCGCTTCCCCCCTGCGTCTGCGGGAAGTTTACACGGACGACACCATGGTTAGGCAGTGGAGCGGGGGTGTTGTGAACAAGTTCGGGGAGCGACCTCGCGGCTGCATCTCGCTCCCGCTGCCTGTACCCCGCGCTGGGCCGTCTGAGGAGTCGCGTCCCATGTGTTCGCAACTCATGTGCACACGCGGCTTCCAGTTGCTCCTGGGTGATACCGAGCGCTGATGCGATACTCATCACTGCGGCGGCGAGGAGAACACCATCCACCTCCATGCTATTCCGATCCCGGAACAGCTTCGACGGCTCCCTTCTGACCTCGTCATCGGTCGGAAACAGCAGGCAGCCCTCGTCTCCTACGCGCGCAGTCGGTTGCAGCGGCACCTCGACTTGCTCCATGTACAGCTGCACAAAAAGCTCCCCCATAGCAAGACTGCAGACATCCCGGCGCATGCCTCGCCTGTAGGTGCGCGAGGTGACGCCATTGCAGTTCACCCAAGTGAACACCGTCTTAAATCCAGTGTTGACTAGACCATGGAGGTACATGCAAACGAACACACCGCAGTCGGTGTCGTTAGACTGCTGCGGGATCACCTCCCTCTGCAAGATACACCCACGTGCACCAATGCTTTAGTAACTGAGTCCCGTGGGTTAGGGTTAGCAGTCAACAACTCAGGTCCGTAAGTTGGGCAAGTGGAACATACCTGAATGACTATGCGCTTGGCGCCCCTCAACGCCCTTTCAGCGTACTGATGGTCGGCGGTTGGTCGACGAGCCTTGTGAATGAGATACAGCGTCCTGCGATACCATCATTGCATGGATTAGTGGAAGCGCTCCCACACTGGTTGCGGATATGCCATATGCATGATGAGGCCGGGACTCACTTCTTGACACCCTCGATCACCTCTGGCGTCCTCGTGTGCATGCCATGGCTGTCATAGTGGATAAGGTATAGTGGCTCTTCCTCCCCCTCCGACGACATTTTGCGTGTCACAGCCCCCAGATTCACCGCAATAACCAGAGAGAAATGCCTCCTGTAAGTGCCCACGGAGGTTACCACGACGCATAAAAATAAGGACAACCACATCCTACATCGGTGCACTGTACGATGCGGAATAATGAGCGGGTCATCAAAGCCCACCTTGCTATAACCGGTATTGCAAGGTAGTCAAGGTCGAAAATACAAGGTGAGCTTCCCATTGGCAACGCCCTGTTCAACTGCGTCGCGTACACGTAGGCTTTGGTGTCCAGCGGAAACCATGTCTTGCCGTCAGGCAGAACCGGGTGTCGGATGTTAAGAAGTCTACACACGCACAGGTAAACACTCTGTGATGGGTTAACACACACAGCCGTCAGCGACTGTAAGAACGACCGATCAAACGGAAAGGACACTCACATGTTGTGAAAATCAACGATGCTGTCGGCAAGATACTCGCCGTCGGCCGTTGTTAGCGCATCCTGGGCGTTCACCTGGCACCCCACGCCATGAGGGCCGTATAGCGAGACTGGCTGGAAAGCCTTCAGGTTATCCGGTATCTTCAACCTTCGGATCAAGTCGTCCGGCTCGTCGGTCACAGTAGATGGGGCGAGGTCTACAGCTCTGCCGCGTGCGCACTCGGAGCTCTCTAACATTAATATTCCACGCTTAGTGTCGCTGTCAGCCGGCGGTGGTGACTCCGTACCCGGCCTCTTTGTGCGCATCCGCTCAATCAAGTCGTCGACGCTGGAAGACAGTGGTGGGGACACCCCGTGCGGCTCAAATTTTTCATGCCTTGTACGCTTCGACATAGTGCAGTTTGCGGCTAGGTGTGCGGAAAAGTGAGCACGAAGAGCAATGAACGGGAGTCTTGATTGAGACGCATGGTGCAGAGTGCTCACATTCTACTGTCTGCTCCACAGCGCCGCTGGACAGTAAGCTCCGCCCAAGCCCTTGATGTGCGGGAGGAAGTGAATCCGATGACGTCGCAGGTGCGGATTAGGACAGGTTTCGGATGCAAACGAGGATGCCACGCGTCTTGAAAAAATGAGAGCGCGCCAAAAGAGAAAACTCTGGATCGGACACATGCAGACCAAGCAACGTATTGAGGGTTGGATCCTTGTAACGAGTATGAAACAATGAGCAACCTCTCCATCAGAAATGTTTAAGATAACAAGTAATGCGTAGCACGTACAAACAGGTTTCGACTAGATTCATGACCATCCAAACGCGTCAGTTAGCAACGCGTGTCTGACGTGTACACACAGGTCCCATAACATACCGTGTCAACGAATTCGCCGCACACAACCAAACTTAAAACCGCGTTTTGTACGTAGAACCGTTTTCCACCGTGCCTCCGAACTACATTTCGGTAGCAAGGACTGACAGGCAGCATCCAATCACAAGTGGGGATCCCGATTGTCCAATAATCCCGACACATGGTGTACGTGCGTTGGTTACTCTCGAATCAGCGGGCAGGAAACGTAGGCCGCTCCTACGTTTGCCACCTGTCGGATGCAGCCCGTCGTTTGTACGCGTTTTCAGGGTCGCGCGTTACAAGATTGTGTTTGCAGTTTCGATTTGCAAAAAAAGAGGTACACTATATCAAAACATAATGGTTTCATTGCACTGACAAGCCAGGACATACAACATCCAGCAAGCGTCAGCCATAAACGCTGTTGCCACTGACGGATGATGCGAGAGGAGAGCTGTTGCATCGCAACATATCGCCGTCTAGGCCGTCGCTGCCGCTGCAACCAGCCACGGCCGGGCGCTTACTGCCCAGACGAGCCCGCTTAGTAGGCGTGCGACGGAGACGGTTGATGACGTCGTCGTTGGACAGTCCAGTGCGCTCTGGAAAGTCACGAGGAGGAATGCCCATTTCAGCCGCGGTACGTATGTACGTCTGCGTAACGGCTCTCACCACTCTACGGCGACTACGAGGGTCGTGCAGTCTAGGCCCAGGTGGCATAATCAGAGGCACGGTGAGGTCCTCCGCTGAGTTGTCTGCGATGTCCGCGGCGCGGTCGATGATAGCGAGAACGCGAGTGTCGCACGCCGCGTAGTCGGGGGCTTGCATGAAGCCGGAGCCACCCTTGGTGAACCTGGTTATCATCTGTTGCAGACTGACGAGCTGGCAGACCCTACCCATAGCAGTACATTCTCGTAGGCTATTTTGGGCATTGCGCCCCGAGACAGCCATGCCGAGTCCTTTATGATGAAGCCGAGGTAGCGGGACCGGAAAATCGTCTTGAACATCTCGACCACCCCGTTGAACCACGGAAGGTTGTATGTGGAAACGACACCCGCGAGATGAACAATCTTGGTGGATGTGAGCTGCTGCACACGAAACCCGAACATTGTGCTCTCGTCACAGGCCGGGTCCAACGACACGTGAGCGGCGCTCGCCACAAGGACAATGGCGGTTTTGTTGTGGCCGAAACGGTCCATGTCGAAGGCGTCCATGTACTCGGTGAAGCACTGCGAGACATAAGGGGTTGACAGATATGACGCTAAACAAGTTGGATGCGTTGCGCAGCACAACCACAATACAATAACTTGTCGCGCACGCACCTCGGCGGTGAGTTCCCCGGATCTCGTTTGACGAAGATGCACAGGCTTCCCATCCGGGAAGAGCGGCCGGTAGGGGCGGGGACGAGCACGACGCGTCACGACAATAGGCGGCTGTGACGATGACCCAGTAGCATTAAACAGCAGGCAAACGCGAAGTTCGCACTTCGGCCTGTACCGGGTGTCTAGCTCCACATTATACGTGAATGGCAAAGTGGTCGCGAGTAGCGGCGTCTCTACGAAGCAGAACACGTCTTCAGGGTGGGCGCATAGCGACTCTAGTAGCTGCACAAGAGCCGCCATGGCAAGGACACTAGCATGGAGACTAGCGTGCGTGTGCGGTAATATGACGATCGTGTCCAGAAGGGAGGGCATCCTTGTGTGCAGCGGTAAGGCCTGTACGAGGTTGTGCACCTCACAGACGCAATCCGCACCGTGGACACGGGAAGGACACAACGCCACGTAAGTGTCACACCTGGTGTGCTACGATTGGTGAGACAAGGTAGCGTAGAACACAGGTTGGATGAGGTGTGGCCGTGCACATGTGGCATTTCGGCGGCCACATGTGGAGAATGGGTTGCACAAGGTGGCTCCGCACGTGACTGATGGTTTTAATAAAACCTTTACACGCGATTGAACTGGCCATGTACAGTCGGGTGTCATGTTCTGTATAACGAACACGGAGGTTTGTACCCGCATCGGGGGCACCAGCACATCGAAACCCTAGAAGGAAGCATGCACCCAAAATCCGTGTTGCCCAACATTACAAGCATCAAATCGGCTGTGTTCTGTTCTGGGGGAGGACCTATATGTGTTGTTGTTCATCGCCGACCATTTAAGGACGTTGATTCTGGGAGCAACCCTGCTCGTTCCGTGGACTGGTAAACGGGGACATGTCACTGCATAGTTGCGAAGCGTGTGGTGGGGGTTTCGCTAACAATATCGCGCTGCGGACACACAGGATTTGCCACCCACGCTGTGCGGGCATGAGTTCCCCATCGACGGACGTGATGTACCTTGAGAGCCGGGAAGAACATGTGAGAGTCAGAGGTGGTCGGCATGTGGAGATGTCGCATTCCGACTTCGTCACGGTGTTACGCGCAGACGGCCTTACCTATGGTGATGATCTGCAATGGTTGTTCCGTGTCTTCAGAAGCCCGGGGTTGTGCACTCGCGACGCTGACAGGTTGTTGGCTTTGCTAAGGAACCCCCGCTTCTCGCTGCGTGATGTGCATGCATTTCGTTCACTTCACTGACACCCTCCATGTTGTGTTGGCGCTACTGGCGTCGTGGGTTGCATTGCCTAGTGTGGCATCAAGAATACGCAAGCGCAGGGGACGGCGGTGAATTGCACACGTAACATGGGATGAGCGGTATGTGTGAGAAACGCTAGTGGAGGGCTGCAGATGGTGTGTTGGGACGGGCTGTAGTGTTAGGCAGTGTGAGTTGTCACGGAGTTTATGGAGTATTCATTATTGTAAAGGACACTCGGCATGCTGTTTGTGCTGGTATATGTCTGTAATTTGCAATCATTGAAGTAATTAGACACAAATATTTAAATGTGTTAGTTGGACTATTACATAGTGTGGGAGACACAATTTGTTGCGCGACTACGGGGTGTGATGCTGACGCGTATGTGGTGGTGTATGTGTGGACATGTCGTGACAAGTCTCTTTCCGCCGAGCTGGGGGAAACATGGTACGAGCATTGTCGCTTCTCCTGTGCGAAAGTGATGTTACCAAAAAACAAATGCGTTCGCATCATGAAACGTTTTCGCTGCATTCAATCCGTGTTCAACTGCCACGTGTGATAGGTTCATCACCCAGTTCGTCGAAATTGGAAGAACCGAGGAGGGTTGCTGATGTGTCAGGGTTCACTCCAGGTTGTGCCATGATGAAACAGTGTGTGACCCGTTGGGACCGTGGTGTATTGAAAGGGTGGGTGCAATAACACAAATTAGGGTTTCCCCCTCGGCTGCAGCTATGTTAGGCAACGCGTGCGAAGCCTGCGGCTTAGAACACGTTGACGACAACACGCTGCAGTCACACCTGGCACGCAGTAAGCAATGCCGACGGAAGATACACCAAGCAAGGGAGGAGCGCCTGGTGGAGGCGTACCGGGAGGCTATGCGTGCTATGCGGGGCGCACGAGCGCCGTCACCGATAAGGACACGTCATTCCGAGATGGAGCCGGATGCAAGCGAGGGCGTCGAAGAGCATCACGAAGAGGATGAGCGGCGAGGAGCAGCCGTACCGGACGCGGACGACGATGGGAGCGATGTTAGCAGCGTGGACGAAGGGTTTGATACGTTGACGGAGATGTACATATTCTTCCGGGACGCAGACCTATCAAGAAGAGAGGTTAACAGGCTACTGACCATTTTTAGCAACCCACGGTTTTCGGTGAGGGACGTCAGGAGATGGCTGAACTATGTGGACGTGAGGCGCTTTGGGAAGGCTATGGCGCCGCCTGACCTCGTGCCGTGGTTGAAGACGGAGATAAAGTGCTATGGACCCGGAGGAAAGATGGCGAGACTGCCGCTGCACTACCGGAACACGGAACTGGTGAGCGGACGGTGGGAGGTAGTGGTGTTCTAATAGACCGCTCACAGAGGTTGCGCTTACTGCATTTCGATGTAACCAAGGGTCGGTTTGCCATGTCCCGCTTGACAGTTGGTGCAGAAGCTGGTGCGGACGTTCATCCACTCGGAGGGTTTCGTGACAGAGCCTCGGACAGACAAGGATGATTGCGAGGGGAAAAGGCATTTCAGCACTCCTGACACGGGCATTTGGATGGAGAAAGCGCATGTGAGTAGGTAGGATGCTGCTCAGGAATTGCTATTGTGTGGTGTGGCAAAGATGCGGGTGGTGGTTCATATCGATGTGTGAACATGGTTTGTGACGGCAAATGGGGTCGTAACGTGTGCAGGCGGCGCGTCCGGACCAGAAGGGGATGATTCTGGGTGTTATAGTGTACAGCGACAGCACGCACGCTTCGTCAAATGGGAGGCTACAAGCGTGGCCGGTCCTGATAAGCCTCTTCAACATACCGGAGAGTCTGAGGTGGCTTGAACCCGGACACGTGCTCGCAGGTGTGCTCCCGTTCCCTCCGGAGTGGGCATCGTCCACGGAGAAGACGCGGGTATTCCAGGAGGCTATGGCTGTCATTTTTTAGCCACTGCTAAGAGAGCACAGAGGGTGAGTGTCGTGAATGCGTTTGTGGTCGGATAGCGATGAAGTGGTGATGTATGACAGTGTGTCGATGGCCAAGTCGTTGGCAGGGCGAAACTCAAGTTCATCTACGTCACGGATGCGTCGGGGAAGGTGGTGAAGGCGTACCCTTGTTTGTTCGCGGAGGTCGGGGACTACCCGGAGTCGTCTCGTTGCACTGCGACGATGCAGCAGAGGTCACACAGGCCATGCAGCTCGTGCTACATTAAGAGGGTGCATCTGGCGGAGCTGAGGACGGAGACAACAGTGCGCACGGCCGATCTGCACAGGCGCACGGTGGAGGCTATTTTGAATGCACCCTCGAGCGACAATGCTGACAAAATAATGCGCAGGTGGTCGACACACCCAGTGCATGTAAGAGGGGCTGATGTGATGGTCAAGCAGAGTGTTTGGGTGGATGTGTTGTTACAGACGTAAGTAATGTACCATGTGTGGATTGGTGAGCGGCAGAACCGTGGTACTGTCTAGTTGACCGGGAACCATTCTTCTGTGTAGGGCAGTGTTTCATGGAGAGGTGGAATTTCGCGGACACGGAGTGGGGGAATGTCTTCCTGGCGTGCGTCGCGGACATATTGCACGTGCTGGACGGCGGGATGTTGGGGCACCTCACGGACATATTCATCAAGGGGAAAAGCAAGCCGGAGAGGCGGGAGTTTGAAAGGTGAGGGACGTCGTGTCAATAATAAGTGTGTGTACGTACTAGGTGCCTTGGTAGTGACTCGGAGCCACTGGTGTAACATGTGCAGGTGCAAGAAAGAGCAGAAAAAGGACACGAGGACAACGGTTGTCCGCATCCCAGGGGGGGCATCCTGGTTCAGGACACGGGCGAACTATGCGGCGTTCGAGAACCGAGGGATGATGCAAGTGATGCCCATTCTCATCGCGGACAGCATGGACGGCTGCAAGCCGGAGGACGTGGAGCAGCGGACGAAGGAGGTACGGGCGTTCAGGAAGTACGCAATGTTTTACAAGGCACTGGTGGGCGTCGCAAAGCACACGGAGCAGACGCTGCGTGATGTCCGCACGGCTGCCTACGCGTGAGTGCCGGGGGGGGGGGGGGGGAAGAGGACGGGTTGGGGTGCCAGAGGGTTGTAGGGGTAGGGGGGGGATGCCATTGGGGGGTGGGTGGGGAGGGTGGGGGGGTGGTGGAAGAGAAGTACGTAGGGCTGGTGAAGGAATAGTGGTTTCTGACAGTGGGGGCGGGGGATTCGGGACCCCCTGTTGTGTGGGTTGTCGCAGCACGTGCGACTGTCGTGGCACGTGGTGTGGTGTAGAGGAGGGGTAGGGAGGGGGGTCGGGCGACTCGTGTGGTTACGAATTGGTTGTTTTTCGAGTGATACAAGGTATGATCTACGCATCACAGCCATTGTGTGGGTGCATGCTGAACTGTTCTGCTTGCAGGATGATGGACGCTATCGGGGATGCTTTTCCAGATCAGAAGTCGTCGTGGAACTTTCCGAAGGTGCACCAGATTGTGCACCTTATTGATGCCATTCCCCTCCGGGGGATGCCGAGGGAGTACTCCACCAACCTCTGAGAGCACACGCACAAGGGAACGGTGAAGGTCCCGGTCCGGGGCAGCAACTGGAAGGACATTCCACGGCGCATCGTGGAAGAAGAAGTGCAGCGAGAGATCACTCGGGAGGTCGCGGCTCTGGCGGGGGGGGGGGGGGCGACAGTACGTGACGGCGTTGCGCGAGGTGAGCAGGGCCCACCACCGCGATGCCATGGGGTTTTTTAGTTGAGGACGCGCGGGATGGGTGAAGACGGCGCTATCTAGACGATGGTGATGAAAATGCATGTAGCGCAGGGGGGGGGCGCTGGGGGGAGGGGGGGGATTACACACGCTTGGCATTGGGGAGTAGGGCAGTGTTGTATTATTGAAGGACATTGCGATGTGTGCTGTGTATGCTGTTGTGCGTGTACAATCTGGCGTGTGTTGTTGAACCCATGTGGACACCACGGCAGGCCGTTCGGCTTCAAGGGCACGTGCTGACGCGGCGGTCGCGATGTGCCAATGTGCGGAACGAAGAGGACCCCGTGCTGTGGGTGTATCGTGAGGCTCTTGGTTCGGACATGGATGGGCTTGGAAGATGTCTCATTGATGCCGGGGTGAACGCCCCGGACATCAAGGTGAGATGTACTGTGGTGTAAGTGCAGTGTACACGTAAACATCTGGTTGAACGCAATGCGGTGTGCAAGCAGGGGATACAGCTGCCGGAATGTGATGGGTGGGGCCATTTCATGACCGGAGTGCTCTGTTGCATGTGTTATGTAGGTGCACACGGCGCTGGCGATTCCGAGAACACGTGGAGGGGAGCTGGTGGCCAAGGGCACATTTGTGAAGGCCAGCCCATCTGAACACTGGTTCTCAGATGTGGCAGTGAAGGCTGAGAAGAAGAAGGAGAAGGAGAAGGAGAAGGAGTGGTACGCAAGGTGCTTGTGCGTGTTCCGTGCGAAGAACGCAGAAGGAGAGGAAGGGGCGTACGTGTACGTCAAGTATTATGAGGCGGCGGGCCTATGCCCAGTCACTACATGTGTGCAGCTGACGCCTGGGAGGGTGGACACCCGGTACGCTGTGGCGGACGTGGAGTGCATCAAGCGGGTGGTGCACGTGTGCAAGTCTTACGTCAACAAGAAGGTGCTGCTGCTGAACAAGTTCCTGTTGTGCGAGTAGTTGGTGAGGTATGAGGTTGGACGCGCTCACGGACGTGCCTATGTTGTTATTACTGGCTAAATTTTAAATGATGTTGAATCACGTAGAGTAAGTAGTGGCATGATCAGTTATGAACATTGGTGCTCGGGGAGGATGATGTTAGTGAGACTGGTAACGTCGTGGTCTTGAACAATAAGTTGAGGGGTAGTGTACAATTATTCAATGTGGTGTCGTAAAGCGAGGGTGTCTGAAATGCGAATGTGTGGGCGCGGAAGCTCTTTTTTTTTAACGTGCCGCGCTCTGTTTACCGGAAGCGACTCGAGGTCCGTGTGAAATTTGCGGTCCGAGGGTGGAGGGCTCGGGAATGTGGGCATGCGGGTGTGCGTGACATTCCTGTCACAAAATTGGTGGGACAAATATGGTGAGTTTGGGGACTTTATGTAGAGTTTTTCGTAGAAAAACCCACGGAGGCCAAATTTGGGCGATCGACATTTCCGCGATGAAGGCACCGCCGGGGTACAAGGGGTCCTCCACCTCTTGGAAGCCCTCAAGGCCACCCACGCGGTAGCTCTCGACGGCACCCATGAGGATGACCTGGGTGGCCCAGATGGCCAGAATGGACTGCGCGTGGATCAGGCTGGGGTTGCCCAAGTAGTCCAGGCCACCCTCGGAGAAGATCTGCGCGCCGGCCTTGAACCACACGGCCTCGCCGAAGTTCACACCGTTGCCGGCCAGCAGCTCGGGGGTCAGGCAGCCGAGCGCGCCAAGCAGAGCCCACCGAGCGTGGATCACCTTAAGATTGAGAAACAGGTGAAAGAGGAGAAATTCTCGTCAAAACCTTAAAACAGGAAGCGTTTCAAAGCAGCCAAGGTTGGTAATTGCTGCGAACTAACAGGAGAAACATCTTAAGGTTGGTTCTTTTAGCGATGAATGTTCTAGCGTACGTAATGTACCTCCTTTGTGTCGTTAGCAAATCTGGTAGCCTTACCTCAAGCTCGCGGTTCTTGGCAAAGGTCTAGGGATCAGCGGACAGACCCGCCGTGTCCCAGCCGTAGTCGCCGGGGTACTCGCCGGTGAGGTACGACGGGGGGGAGCTGAAGGGGCCCAGGAACAGGTTGCGGTCGGGGCCGTAGAAGGCGCTGCTGGAAGCCGCCTTGGCGGTCTTCCTCATCGTCACGCGGGCCTCAACATTGTTCACCTTGGCGGCGAGCTCAGCGCTCTGGCCGACGAAGGTGGAAGGGAGCACAGCAGCGTTAGCGAGAGCAGCCATTGTGGATGTGTAAGGTCGTCGAAAAAAAAAGCTGCTGTTGGGATTCCTGGATGAGTGTGGCTGACTGCTGAGCTTCTCGTGACTGCAGACTCTTTTGAACTCGAGGTCTGAGGGAGAAAGGTGGAGGAGACTGGAGGCGTTGTTGGAGGCGATTGCGATTGGATGCAGTGTCATCGCGGATCGCGTGCATGTTAGGTGTCCGACGCTACGAAATCCCCTCACCTGCTCATCAGGAATCCAGGCAATCGAGCTCGACCAATAGGGAAGAGGCTACACTCTGCGGGGTTCTGGTGGGTTGTGCTCAACTGGTGGTGAGCTTGGCGATAGTGTGTGCAAGGTGCTGAATTTGTCTTCGCGACACTTCGCCCCGTCGTCATTGAGCCAAGCAGCACAGCCAGCCAGATTTTGGTGTGAGCGATTTGTCAGAATGTTATGTTTGTCTAGCCTGCAGTGGGGTACTCAATAGTGAGTACAGCCCAATTTAGGGTTTGCTATATGTACTCAACTGCTTGCTAGTGAAACCACTTCCTTCCATTCATTCCTTGTTCTTTCACATGGTATAGAGCAGGTTCCCTAGTGGGAACGCTTCCTTAGGCCCACCACTGAATTTTTTTTTCTGACCGAAGCGCGAGTCGCCCCTGCCCGAGGCGCGCCCCGTGGGCCGCCCTCTCGTCGCGTCCCCTGCCCTTAGCGGCCCGTCGCGCCCTTCTAGAGGCCCCTCTCACGGCCCCTCGCGCCACCCCTAGCGGCCCCGTCGCCGCCCTTAGCGGCCCCGTCGCCACCCTTCGCGGCCCCGTCGCCGCCCCTAGCGGCCCCGTCGCCGCCCTTCGCGGCCCCGTTGCCGCCCTTCGAAGCCCCTCGCGGCCTCTTCGCGGCCCCGTCGCCGCCCCTAGCGGCCCTGTCGCCGCCCTTCGCGGCCCCGTCGCCGCCCCTATCGGCCCCGTCGCCGCCTCCAGCGGCCCCGTCGCCGCCCCTAGCGGCCCCGTCGCCGCCCTTCGCGGCCTCGTCGCCGCCCTCTCGCGGCCCCAGTGCCGCCCTCTCGCGGCCGCGTCGCCGCCCTCTCGCGGCCCCGGTGCCGCCCTCTTGCGGCCTCGTCGCCGCCCTTAGCGGCCCCGTCGCCGCCCCTTGCGGCCCCGTCGCCGCCCCTTTCGGCCCTGCCTCGACCCTGCCCTGTCCCCGCCCCGGCCATGCTCCGTCGCCTGTCGCGGCGCACCGGGGACCCGTGCACCGCCCCCCCCTCTTTTCCCGTCGCCTGTCGGGGCGACCTGGGGGGGGGGGGCGAGCGTCGCCCCTTCTGCCGCCTGTTTTGGCGCCCTGGGAGGCCGCGCGTCGCCCCCCCCCCCCCCCCCCCCGTAACCTCCCTACCCGCCGTCCCGCCCTGCCCTGTGTTAGGGTCTGGGGGTGGCGAGTAGGGGGTGGCGGGTGTGTGGTCTCCCCTGCTCCTCCTCCTCCTCTGTCTCCCACTGCTGCAGCTGCCGCTGAGGGGGGTGGGTGTGTGGGAGTCGACGGAGTGGTGCTAGGGGGTGGGGTGTGAGTGAACCTAGGGTGCAGCAGGGGGTGTGTGAAAGGGGGGTGGGATAGTTTGGGGAGGTTGAAGGGGGGTGGCCGCCGTGAAGCCCGCAGCTCCAGTCGCCCGTGAGACCGTTGCGCCAGTCGCCCGTGAGCCAGTTGCTCCAGTCGCCCGTGAGTCCGTTGCTCCTGCCGCTCAGAGTTAGCCGCGGAGCCAGTTACTCCAGTAGCCCGTGTGCCAGTTGCTCCAGTTGCCAGTGTGCCAGTTGCTCCAGTTGCCCGTGTGCCAGTTGCTCCAGTTGCGCCGTGTGCCAGCAGCTTCAGCTGCCGCCCACTACCTCCTCTCCTCTCATAGTCCCTCCTCCTCCACACTTGCCCTCGGTGATAGCCTCTAGCTTTGCTTACATTTGTGAACTTTAAACTGTTGCTTCTTGTACTTGTGCTCAGATTGTGTGGTGACATTGTGATCCACCCTGAGCTTGTGTTTTGCTTGCTTGTTGTGCTGATTACACCCCACTTTGGCTATGGGGGTGTGTCAGAATGTTATGTTTGTCTAGCCTGCAGTGGGGTACTCAATAGTGAGTACAGCCCAATTTAGGGTTTGCTATATGTACTCAACTGCTTGCTAGTGAAACCCCTTCCTTCCTTTCTTCATTCCTCATTTCTTCACACGATTTGCAAGCTGATTGGGCAACGCTGATCTTCAGTGGTCGTTTTGATTCAATACACCCGGAACCACTCTCAAACGTTCCAATCCTTCGTCTTGCCGATTGTCTTGGAGACCCGATTGTCTAGTGGAATAGGTGTGCAATAACGAATAACTCATTATGTACCAGCTCCATAGTTCGAGGTTGTGCTGGAAGTGCGTGGCGCATGCGTATTGGCTCCTTGGTCTGTGGAGAACACCTTGCCTTCTCCACCACAGCCGTGACAGCACACCTAGATTTGCGAACTGTAAGGGCACGACTCATGATTCTGCGTGATAGTCTCTCTCGCCACACCACCACCACATGGAAACACAGTAGAACGTACCAAAACACACAAAACCACACCACACCACACCACCCTCGTTGACCATCGTCTGTGTCGCCAACAGTGTCGTTGGATTGTTGGGTCTCGTTCTCTGTCAGATTTGTCGCTCCTCACCACCTCGCTCGCCGCCATGAAAACTGGCTTTCCAACTCTCGAGGGACAGTTTGAGCCAAGAGAGAAGGTATAATTCCAAGGCTATCTCAACTCGATTTCAAAAACCGCCGAGTCCAACTATCATTCCCAGTCTAGTCGAGGTCAGCAGTAGGAGCCAGGGGACTGGTATCCCGAGATTTTTACAAAGAATGCAGGCAATATCGATAATCGAAGGCTCAAATTAATTTGCCACCGCACTACCCACGCGTAACCTTTTTGCACCGTGAATAACCATTTCAACTCCGTTTCGGAACTATCTTGGAGCGATCGGTCCTGCTCCTCCACTCGCGTCCTTACAGTGTACATTGATAAAATACAGTGGTACAGATCGAGTTACTAGAAACTCTGCTGTTTCTCCTCGTCTCAGTGCAGACTATATTTAATTTCGCACGCCGATCCGGTCGTAGCGATGTTGAACATGACAGCAGCAGAGGCGGCGCAGATGCTAGGCCGGCCGCTAACGACAGCGGAGGCGGTGTGGCTGGAAGCGACGCGCGGCGTGGCGGATTACCAGCTGTACTGCTGCACTGTAGTGCTGCTCGTCATTCTCTACACGGTCGCGTGCCTGCCGTACGCGATATTAGACTACCTCCGCCTGCCCTTCTTCGAGCAGTACCGCCTACAGCCCGCCGTGGCCCACTCGCTGGCCGACACGTGGAAGTGCTATAAAGACGTGATCGGCGTGATGGTCACCACGATCCTCCCCCTTCAGCTGCTCTCGTATCCTTTCTTCAAGGTGCGCTCCCTTCAGCTCATTTCGTATCCTTTCTTCAAGGTGCGGTCCCTTCAGCTGCTCCCTTATCCTTTCTTCAAGGTACCAGTCCTCGTTCACCCAGCTGCTCTCGTAGTGTCACTCTCAGGCTGCCATCTCACCGCCAATCACATCCTTCTTCCACTGCGCGCCAACTGATTTTTTCCTTCCCCATAGCTGATCCACCCTCAAGCACCCCCCTTCCCCATAAAGTTGCGCTGATTCACCCCCCACGCGCCCCCTTTGCCCCATAAAGTTGTGCTGACACCCCTCACGCGCCCCCTTTGCCCCATAAAGTTGCGCTGA